CCTGGGGAGCAGGACCTCCTTCGAGGCCGTTCGCTTGAGCCCCTGGGCACCTGGGCCACTGTGGGCCGTGGCCCTTCTTTACCCCAGGTGCAGCCAGCTCCCTTTGGCTTGGGCAGGCTCCGCATAAGTGACGACAGCTGCCAGGTCGTACATGGAGCTGCAGGTGAGCGAGAATCGGATGGCGAAGAATGGATGAGGGGAGGTGGCACATGGTGAGGAGGGAAGGGCCGGCTCTGTAAAGTGGGAAGGGCCTTAGAATGGAGAGGGGAGGCCTTGGCAGCTGCAGATGCGGACTTCGCACTGTTCTTACCAGGCCTGGTGGAGCCCCAGACCATCTGCCTCTGCTAGCCGCCGAAGCAAGTTCAGAAGCAGCTCGATGGCTCATAGCCAGGACCCCACCCGAGAGGGGAGGCAGAGACTCGAGGCAGCAGGAAGGTGAGGCCCGGGAGCTCACGTGGGGAGATGGGGGTCGGGGCGGTGGGCCTCACACCTGGGTCCTCACACCTGGGTCCTCACCTCCCTCCTTGCCCAGCTGTCTTCGCTCCAGTTGGAGCTGTCGAAACTGGACAGGGCGGCCTGGCACCTCCAGCAGCTGATGGATAGAGTCTCCAGCCCTGGGGCTCGAGTGTCCCTGAGGACAAACAGATCGGTTAGCTGGGATGCCAGTGGGACATCAGAGCCACGTGGCCACTGGCTTCATTTGTACGTGAGAACAGACTGGCTTTGGTCTCGTGAGGGGGTCCTGAACACTCCACGTTACTGCCCAGCCTCCCTCCTGTGGTCGTCCACCGAGTTTGGGAATGAGGAGATTCAGATAAACTTTAAAAATCACAAACATGTCTGCTTGTGGTCTTTTATCCCCCTTTCCCCTAGTGGTGACTTTCTGGTATCTCAGGTGTCCCCTGAGAGCTTGATCCGGGGAAAGAGAGGGCTTCCTCCCTGGAGGAGAGGAGCTTTCTTTGAGAAAAGGGTGGGGAGGGTGCAGTGCCTGGGCCCCTGCTTCGCGTGCTGAGAGTGGGCCGGGCTCTGCAGGCCCTTCCCCTCCATGTCACCAAACGGAACTCCCTGCTCCTGGCCTTGTCCCAGAGGTGCAAAGCAGTGATTCCCCCAGCCTGAGGGGCGGTGGGTGTCCTGGGATGGTGCACAACCTGAGACCCGGTGCCAGAGACGCTGCCAGCCCTGACTGAGTCGCACACTCACAAAGGTACAGCGCCTGACCCGCCCAGCACCACTCATCTCAGTGGCACTCGGGCCTGGCCTTCCCACGCCCCAAGCGCGTCCTGTGCAGCAGCTCCCAG